ATGATTTATAATTATATACTAGCAGAAATAGAACAAAAAGAAGAAACTTCTTAATAAATAGAAATAAAATAAAACAATCAATAAATATTAAATATTTATTAATATCTAATTAAAATTCAAATTCAAAGGTAGATTTCTAAATTTTTAATTGAAAAGAATAAACATAAAAATTTCACTTTATGCAATAAAAAAAACGATGGAAGAAAATAAAAATCAAGAATGAACAACAAATGATTATTACTATTAAATTATTTCAATTCGGAAAAAAAAATTTTTTAATTTTTCTAAAATAATTTCATGCAATTATAACATTATGATGAAATGACAAAACTGATATTATCGAAAGAAGAAAGAAAAAATGAACACTTTTGCATCATTTCATCCAAAATAAGACATTATTATAAATGAATATATAACATTCCCAAGCTAGCAAAATAATGAATATAAAGTTGAAATTGAAATCTAACAAGTACTAAACCATTAAAAACTAATTTACTTTTTCCCAAGTATTAAATGAATTTCTTCTTTTATTTTTCTTTTTTTCCCTCTCTCAACTATAAAATCATTATGATGTAGCGATTACCTTTAGCACAAGTAATATTATTCATTCCAGTGTTTGTTAAAATGAATTTAAAAATTTTTAAAACTATCTGATAGATGATTTAAAGATATAAACTAACATGAATAATTATAGCTTATAACAACTATTCATTCATTATTGTTGCCAGAAAAAGAAAAAACAGAAAAAAATTTAATTAAAAATAATTTTTTTTCGACAAAAATTTAAGAAAAAAGAAGGGAAATATAAGACTATATTATTATTGGTTCAATAATGTAGCAGAAAATATAATAAATTATGATATTAAATATTTTGTAATTTGAATATATTAGTTATTAGAAAATTAGAAATTAGTTTTGCTAAAATTTCATTTTCTATTAAAATTGAAATTATTTTTTTGTTCCTTTACCAAAATTACTAAATAGCTATTTAGATTAAGCTTAAAAGGCAATTTTTAAATATCTTAGTTTGAATATTTAACAATGCTATTTTTGCAGAAGCAATAAAAATTTTCGCACATTACTTTATGCAAAAAAAAAAAGAAAGGAAAAAAGAATAGCAATTTTTAGTTTTCAAATAGAAAAAAAGAGTAAAAAAAAAAACAATTTTGAAAAGAAAAAGAATAATGATGGATAATAATTGAGAAAATAATAATTATTCTAACGAAATATTATTTAATTTTTCCTGTTTTTTCCTTTTCCCAAATTTATTCATAGAATATTATCAATTAACAGTTACTCTTAATAATTTTATTCATGTAGCAAAAATAAATAAATATAGTTGCATATTCAAATTTGCATTTAATTTCTTAATATATACTCAAATTTATTTTTTGCACCAATATTTTGTCCAAATTTACAATTGCATATGAAATTTTGTGTTCAATTATTTAATATTTAATGAATTTTTTTTGTAAAAGATAACGTAAAGAAATTAAATAAACGTTTGATAATTATTATAGAAACCTTTTTGCTATACAAACTAAATTTTCAAACGAAATGTTAAAAAGTTTTAAAATTTGACAATAATATATTTGCTTAAATTGTAATTTTCGAACTATATATTAATGCTAATGCTTATATTCGTAGTAATAATTTTATTTTGACTGAAAAATTTTTTTTTGTATACAATTGAAACACAGAATGAATGTTTCCTTTTTCATTTTTTTGACAAGAAAGATGAATTTTTGCAGATTATTTTCATAATATTTGGAAGCATGAATAAAAAAAAAAAAACAAAATGTTTTTAGGTTGCATCAAATCAATAAAAAAAATAAACAAAACATAAAAAAGTTAATTAATTCAGTCTAAGTACTCTCCAAGTTTACATATAATAGTCGTTTCCGAACCATTATGAAAATTTTAGAAAAAATGAAAAATTGATGAATGTTTGCTGATGATATTATATTGTTTTATGCTTCAAACAACAGTAGTTATAAAAAGAAACGAAAAAAAATCCATAAAAATTAAATCTATAAAATTAATATTGTTTGATAATGATTAAATATGAATTGGAAACAAATAAAAATTTCAAAACAACACTTTCATTTCTTAAAGTTTAAGTTAAACTAATTTTTCATCTTACAGAGCTTTTATAGGTTTAAAAGGAAAAGGGAAACAAAAAAAATAGGTAAGAAAATATTAAATTGAACAAAAAAAATTTTCTGTCTGTCAAATTGTGCATGTTGTAAGCGATCTTTTCATTGAATTTGAATTTTTGTAATAACTAATACTAATTAATTTCCTCCTTAATATTTTAAATAGACGCAGTATTTCGTTTTGTTTATTTGCGAGCAAAAAAAAAGAAGAATGAATGACAAAAGTGCCTTATTCATTTCAATCAAATGTCAAAGTTTGAAATTAATTTGAAGCAAATAATTTTCTTGCAACAAATTAATTTTTGCAGAAAGTTTATTGAATTGAAATTTTATAAAGGTTAGAATTGCAGAATATCATAAGCAAAATTAAGTGAAAATAAAGGAAAAAAGTTTTTTATTTCAATAATTTCATTTTAGCATTGAAATTAATTAAAGCTTTGGAAAAGCTAACAGATAAATATTTTTTTGCTTATCATTTGCATTCGTAAGATATTATTTGCATAGCCTTTTTTTTCTTGTCAGATTACTTGATATTTAAGGTACCTACAGTTAGTACTTATTTGAAAGAAACAAATAAAATTTGGATTTTTTCAAAATTTACTTTAAATTTCAAATGTCAGTTTTAGCAGCTTTATTTTCTAATGATATGATTAAGTTTGATTATGCTAAAATTTATCTCAAAATGGCTTAGATTTGAAAAAAAAAGTATTACTATTTTTGCCAGAGCATTCAAACTTTTCGAATGGAAGCCAAATTTTAATCTGATAAGAATTGCATTTGCTGATATTCACTGTAAATTGCTATTGTTTCTGCTTTTTCAAACTCCAGAAAAATGTTTCGGAATATTTTGATATAAAATAAGAATGATGATAACAATAAGAATATGAATAAGAAGCTATGTGATAATGATGATAAAATATCGAACAATGGTAATTTAAATAAAATTATTCGCGAGAACTTTTAAAATTTTATTTCCAATTCAATAAGTTTAGTTAATTTAAGATTGTTACTTCCTACGATTCTCCTTTCTAAAGTTTTTGCATTTTTCTTTATAAAAAATATGTGATGTAAAGGATTACTTAAATTAATTTCAGTCCTCGACGTTGAATGAAATGTATAAGCATTTTGTTTCATTCATCTTTTCCTTCTTCTTTATTAATGCAATTTTTTGTCACCACTTTATCACTCTCCACTGCCTTTATCAAAATTATTTGAAAATATTTAACTAGTTGCAGCCATCTGGACAGATCAGAAATTATTTTCCACAGATATCGATGGATTTATATAGTGGAAAAAAAAATGCAATAAGGTTTTACTCCAATTTTACAAAAGTTCGATTAGTGATTCAAACAGGTAATCGTTATCACTATAAATAATTGCTAAATCAAGACTGATCGGTGGGGACCAAATAATCTTTATCATTACTATATCACTGGTAAAATTTTTGTCACTATTTCATTTCATTCTAGGATGTGTGCATTTTAAGATTGAAGGAAATATTACTTCCATTTTAACTTTAACTAATCATTGCTATCGAATAAGATAATAAATAATGCACCTATAAATACTTTTTATTAGTTTAGTGGCAAAATTATTACGTTTGCAATATATGTTCTGGTTTTGCAAAGCACTCATTTCGAACATTTTTTGTTTTCTTATCAGTTTATCTGATAATATGCAAATATCCACTGAATAACTCAGTTTTTCAGTTCTGCAGGAAAATTATTACTTTCATAATATTTTTTAAAACAAGCCAGAATCGGATCGCTGTAATAAATACAACTAAGGTCTTCAATGTTTTTTATTGATTTACCATTACAATAGGCTCGACAATTTGGCGGCACTCCGCTGAAAATTCGTTCCGAGTATTAATAAATTAAATTAATATTTACGATAAAGTAAAGTGATGACAGACAGACACGCACAAACGTATGCATAATATAATACCCAGCCATAGTATTTCACCAATAATTTGCACATTTATGTTATAACATTTTTTTTTTGTGCATCGAATAATTTCTACAAACATTATTACTTCAGTCAAGTCAAAAACAAGTTTCAGCCAAGTCAATAAACTGATCAGTCTGTCGTTTGAATTGTCCAATGTTTAGTTTGATATTATAAATTCAATAATTCATTCAAAACACAATCAATAAGAGAGTGATGAAAATTAATCAAAATTTTGAGTAAGCGCTAATGTTCATTATGCTAATGTTAGCATCTCAATCATTCGTAATATAAAGTTCTTTAATTAGGTACTATGCCGCTTTGAAAAAAAATGGGATGGAATGATAAGTTTAATTTGCAATTCAAAAATCTCTTTGACGGTTATTCATGCATAAAGGGCTAAATATGACGATGACGAATTAATGTCAAATTTATGAGTACAATTCAATTTTTTTTTAGCTGTTTCATCCTTTTGCTAACTAAACGTAATTTAATTAAAAAACCATCGATTAAGTATAATTTATATTTTGAAGAAAAAAAACTTAAAATTTTTCTCTCAATGTCTATCAAAATTTATAAAAACAAATGTATTTTCCCTGTGCATATATTTCTCAAAAATCTATCAAATTTTAAATAAATCTTCAGTTTTTGAAATTTTGTGGATGCAATTTCTTCAACCTTAACTTTTAACGAAACAAAGAACTGCAATATTGTAACGAAAGCAAATTTTTTATCTTAAATTATGTTAAAATAAAAAAAAATAAAGGAAATGAAGCAACAAGAACAAACAGATTTTTATTATTTTATACCTATAAGAATTTGAGTCGTATTTTATTTACCAAAATAAAAGAAATTTGGAACTGAATAATATGCAAACAAACATATAAACAGTTTCCATTATTTTATGAGAAAGTATTTCATTTCAGTAAATTTATGGAAAGGAACAAAATTTTCTTTGAAGCACTGAAGAATTGACTTAGAATGCCGGGCGCAAAAAATGCTTAGTTCTCTTAATCTTAATGTTTCCGCTCCATTGCAAATCTTGCTGCACTGTTCAGGTACACCACTGAAATTTGTTATTAAAATGATTAAATGATAATAAATAAGAATAAATTATTAAAATGATTAAATGATAATAAATAAGAATAAAATTAATAATAGCAATAATATCAAAAATAGTACTAATATTAACGAAAATAATTATTAGCAAAAGTAATAATAATAGCAATAATGATAATAAATAATAATAATTGAATTTAAAGAGCTGAACTAAAATTTGTTTGATGTTTAAATAAATACAAAGTAAGCGGAAAAAGTTTGAGACTTAAGAGTAAATTTGATCTAAAATTTTTAATTAGCACAAGAATGTTTGTGTGATGATAAGTTACCGTGCAGCGCAGCAAGAAGTTTGATTTTTGTTATCCGAAGCACATTTGAAAATTTTCTTCAGTTGCGGTTTGCATTGCTTGACACTTAGCATAAACTGTAACCGAAGAATGAAGTTATAAAATAACAAGCAAATTCAGTTTAAAAAAGGAAACAAAACTTTTACAAATTATTTCTTCAAAAATAGTAAATTAAATTTTGAGAGCAACTTTTGTAAATTTTCTGTTCAGTAAAACTTAATTTTAGCATTTCTAAATAATAGCAACTTAACTTGCGGATTGATTTAAGTGCAAAGAGTGAAAGTTAATTTTGCCTATTCATTGGAGATGAGAAGTTCATCTGTTATCATTAGCAACAATTCCAGTCTATCAGTAATAGCAATGAAATCCAACTTTAATATCTATTAGCAGTAGTAGCAATAAATTTAATTAGTAGTAATTACAGGTTTGCAAAAATTAATTTTCAGTAGTAGTAATAGCAGACAAATTTAATTAGTAATTATAGTTGGTAAAAAAAAAAATTAAAATTAACAGATTTGAAGATTGCAATAAAAATTACCGTCCAATGTGTCATACCAGCAATTCTACTCAAACTGCACATTTTATTTGTACAGAAATCATTAACAGATTCCTTCATGCAACACCCTCGGAAGAATGCATCTGCAGGACTCTCTGCTCTAAGTTCTTTGTCTCCCATAAAAAACATTTGATGCCAATTAGTTCCATGTGCTAATGTCACCAAAACTGCTAGTACAAAAGTGATGATTTGATAGTCCATTTCTGAAATAAATAATTAACTGCAAAGGTGTAATTTCAAATTGGCTTGCAAGTATTTTGAATGGCTAAGATGTTTAAAAAGTAATAATTTCAAATTCTAGCTTATTTTATGAAGGAGTAATTAACATTGTAATAAAACATTGCTTGGGAATGATAGAGAAATTAATTAGAAAGCCTGATGCTATTAGGCTAGTTAATAAAAACTCAGAAATCATCCCAAGTATCTATCTAATCAACAGTTAATCAACCATAAGTTTGGCTCAAATCGTAGTTTACAGCAGAACAAGCTTTTACATCAAATATGGCTTTCCATTTTATTCTTTTCATATTAAAAGCATAGTTTCCTCAAGGAACAATAAAAAAAGAAACCTCAAAAATTTGTTGCAGTGTTTGATCCAAAACTTATTATATATTTTTTTCATCAAATTTACAATCATTTATTTTTGATCTATTTTCATTTTTTAACAAATAAAAAAGAGAATCTTTGATTTTTGTATCTTTTTCATTCCTCCAATTTGTTTGCATTTCTTTGATAAGAAATATAAAATTCTAAATAAATTTCATTACAAATGAGACAAATAAATCAATTTTGCAAATAATATTGAGATAATCAGTGAAATAAAAAAACGATTATTCAAATGTGATTATTATTTGTCGTCACATTAAAGGTATTGTTTTCTGAAGAGACAACAAAGAAAAAGAATCATCAAATTTGTTGCAATATTTGATCAAAAATTTATTGCAAATTTCTTTCATTAAATTGCAATCATTTATTCAATGCAATTTCGAGAATGTAATAAACGAATGAAATTCTAAAGAGATCGATGAATTACTTTTAAGTTGATGAAACAACAAAAAAATTTGCATTTCAATTTTAATCGAAGATTAAATGTTTCACTTAAAAATATATACATAATAGTAAGGAAAAGGTATGTTGCCATTTTACAATCAAAACTTCGTTGATAAAATGACTGCAACATTAAATATTAATTATTATTAATCGTTTTTGCAATGAGAGTTTATTTTATTTCAAGTAAAGTGAAAATTAAGAAGTGCATTATTTTATTTGCATTAATTTGAGAAAATTTGAGGACTGAAAATTTTGTTCATTCAATCCATCCTAAATCTTATACTTTATCTAATCAATTATCTTGATATAAGAAACATTTCGAATAAGCTAACTTTGAAAATATTTGGTATAGTTAGTTGGTGCATATTGGCCCAAGATAATTTGTAGATTTTTTCGTTTTACTCTTTACTCTAAGGTTTTGTTAGCCCAAGGATTTTTGTTTTGGAATAATTTAACGATTATAAAGTTATTTTGGTTTAAATCGGCGACTAATTTTTATGAATTTAGTTGTTTATTAACTGATGAAAGGTTTATCGATGAAAGATTTATTCTTTTTGGATGCTATAGAAAATTAGAACTGATCATCAGGTTGTTTCCCATTAACAATAATCCGTAGAAAATTTAAATGAAATCGATTGACATTGTTGCTTAATGAAGTTTTGAATGAAGTGGGCAGGTTGTTGTATGACTGAAAGGGAGAAAATTTTGACAATGTTTGATAAAGTAACAATACAACAATGCCTTTTTTCTTGTTTTTCAATTATTTTTTTCTATAAATGATGCGACTATTTACAACAAATTTAAAATTGTAACTTTCATCATTCGATTGAAATCTTTTCAAAAAGATCCTTATAGAAGGCTTGTGATGCCGAATTTTCCGCAATTATTTACATTGGTCGTGAACATGATTAAATAAAATTATTTTTATGATATAAAAATATTTCAAAACATTTTTTTATCGTAGAAATACTTCAGTATTTTCGACATATTTTGGCCAACAGTTTAATTTCTTGTCATTTCTATGTTTTATATTTTATTTTATGTCATTGCTGAAAATTAAATGTCTTTTTTCTCTCTTAATTTTATATTGAATAAAAAATTGCTTTAAATATTTTTCAGACTCAAATTATCGACTTAATTGGAAATAACTTTTTTTCATCAGTTTTTTTTGTTTTCGTCTATCAATTTTCAAATCTTGAATTAACGAAATATTATTTAAGAACTTCTTTCATAACATTAAGATTAAAAGTAGCATTTGTAAGAGAAATAAATAAAAGAGTAGGATGAAATTTATTATTTCATTTAGCATTCCATTTTTGTTTCTTTTTTCACATTGAATTTAATCCTATCTTTGCTTCTTTTTTATACAGCTTAAGTTTCAATCTTTTCCCTCTTTTTTTTACATTAACTTTAATATTACTGTTTGTTTCTTCCCTTAAAACTCAAATTTTATCGTTTATCTTTTTTCATTAACTCTAATTTCATGATGTTCCCTTCTTTCCTTATATTAAATTTAACTTTGATGTTTGTTTCTTTCTTTAAATTTTTGTGATTTTTTCATTTTTATACCAAGTTCAAATTTATTTTACATTGTAAAGTACTAAACCAACCAATTCAATATTTATTTATTTAAACAATAATTAATAGACGAGTGAAAATCAAATTGGTCAACATTGAGAACGAAAAAAATAATTTTTCAGATTCAGAAACAGCTGATAATTGATAGAAATGTGTAATTTTGTGGAGTAAAATGGTTATGAAATGATAATGATAAAAGAATTCAGCAACACAGATGTAGTAATTTTGTGGACGTCAACAAAATGGCGAGATATTGAGAAATAATCCATAAAAATGAATGCAAACAATTCCCAAAAAATTATGTTTATCATAAATTTTATATCATTATAATAAATACGCAAAATGTTCAAATAGAAATTTACAGCGTCTTCCATTTTTCTGAGAATTTTATATCAACTACGAGAAATAATAAATTTTACAGCGTTATTTAACGATCTTTTTCTTTTGTCCTTTTTTTTTTTTTTTTTTTGCTCGAATTTCAGAATAAATATTAAAAATCCTTCGAAATTAGTATAAAGAGACTGAAACATTTAAAAGCAAATTGAAATCATTTTCTATATATATTTTTTTAAATCTTATTGTCAAATTTAACTTAGTTAAAATTTTTATTTCTCTAAAATAGGTGCTTTATCATCGCTTGTAATTCGATCTAACCGTACAACAGTTTTTTTGATTCATCATTTCATTTCCTTATCAACGTCCTTTACAACTTTTTCCCAAATTGTCACCTGCAAACATGAATGTGCATGCATGCATGCCGCCGTATTCTTGTGCAATACATTCTACCGATGATTATTTTTACTTTTCATAATATTTTTTTCTTCTCTTTGAAAATGTGAAGAAAGTATATTTTCTGCGAAATATCTGTTCAAAGTACGTAATCATTTAATTCCTTTGCGAGTACATCTTCTCATTAAAAATTTCGAAAAAAAATTATCATCGGTGGATCGTTTTTATTTTAATGATATATCAGTTATTACCGAAAAAAAAAAAAGACCTAAATAAATTTATATTATGTCGAAATGTTAATGTTGTCTAGATTTGTCGAGTGTTAATTATGTTGCATTAAATTTGTAATGTGAAGAAGACAACTCCTAAAGAAGGTAATTTTGTTTAGACAATCTTGAAGAATTGTTTCAGTTTTAAATCTTAATGAGCAACCATTTACTCAAACATTCGTCGTCCAATTTTAGCTAAGCTTATGTGCATTGTTAAACTCTGCTAACAAAGAATATTTGCATTGCTTAATATATTGAAAATTGCTCTTAATTTCTAATCGAACTATATTCAATGGTAAGTATTAGCGTTTTGTTCAATTCTTTTTTAATTTTCTTTTACAAATTCTTTTCTTCTTTTACAAACTAAAAAGCCAAAAAGCCACTTACAATGTGGAAATATTGCAAAGATCTGCGAATTTGTTAATCACTCTTATAAGCAACTGAGTAACCGACATAATATACCAACTTTCAATGTATAAAGGATAAAAGAAGAATATGTGACAAAAATTAATTAAACTTTTCACTCACCGTAATCAACTGTTCGTTTTGTGGTAATTCACTGCTCACTGTACAAGGAGTTAAAACTATTCTCTGGGACATTTTTCCAGAATAGTAAGCTTCGATTTGGTTCATTTAAATATTCATTTACTTGATTTTACTTTTAGCAACTTAATTTATCTTGTTAACATAGCACAATCAGTAACAGTAGTGAAAAAGAATGACAATTATAAAGAAATTACGAAAATTTAGAGAACATTTAGTGGAGTTTTACATTTTAATTCGTTCTTTACTTATCATATTTTTAACTTTTTTCTTATCATTATAGTCTTATCGTTATATAAGCGTAATACTGCATGATATCATAAAAAGACAATAAAGTTATTACTAACGTCGTAAAATCAGTAACGAGTAAAGATTGGTATTCTAAAAAATTCCAATTTAACTAGTTTAACTAATACTTACTTAACTTTATATGTATAAATACTTATTTATATATTTAAACTTTATGCTTACTACATATTACTGCTATCCATACCAAGGTGAATCTGTTCAGAATGAACGAGTAAGAAAATCTCTTCTAAAGAAGATAATTTGTCGTAATTATTGATTCTGAATTGAATATATTAATAAAAGGAGGGATAAGAAGAACGATCAGTGGTTAAGTTAAGACAATTCTTGACAAAACTGATTCGAAGAAATGAGAACAATAAAGAGAAGAAAACGCATTCTTCATTGCTATACGCTGGGTACTGCTATATCACACTTAATGTAAGAGTGAAGATTATCTTTGAGACAATCAACGAAAAGAAATTCGACAAAGGTAATCAGTCTAATACACATATACCTCTAATTACTAAGCAAATTTCACCCAATCGTGAGCAACTAACCTACCAAAGAAAGTAACAAACGATCAAATTGCAAAGGAATACTGCGTGTGTGAACGAACAAAAAACTATGGAATCGGATGCTGTCCTCTTCCTTCTCTCCATCCTCTCCTCTCTCCTTCCTCTCCTCTCTCCATCCTCTCCTCTCTCTTTCCTCTCCTCTCTCCATCCTCTCCTCTCCCCATCCTCT